CTCTGCAACTTACCTGGCTGCTTCTTGCTCTAACCGAGGGCTGCTGGGAGCAGGGAGTGGGGCTTGTTGAATGTGCCCGCCCCCTGGGCACTTTACTGCCGGAGCTCTGCTCCTGTGCTCTCCTGCAGGAAATGACCCCTGCCATGTTATATATTTTAGCATGCCGTGACCTGGAATGGCCCAGGCTAGCCTGATCTTATCAAAATTTGGAAGCTAAGCAGGGCAGACCCGGTTAGCATTTGGAAGGGAGAACACCAAGGAAGTCCAGAGTCTCTGTGCAGAGGCAGGTAATGGCAAACCGTCTCTGTTCGTCCCTTGCCTTGAAAAACCTATGGGGGTCACCATAAGTCACCTGCAACTTGATGGCATTTCCCACCACCACCACCACCGCCAGTAGTTCAGTAATAACCATGCATTCCCTAGATAGTCCAGTAGGTTCCAGTTTGACTCTGTAAGCCCACTGCGCTAAAGGTCAAAGGTCAGGCCAGTGCAATCTTGTCTGCTTGCTAACCTTAAGACAGTATGAGCCAATACACTGGGAGACCCAGCAAGCAATTTGAGCCTAGCCTGAAGGACGGAATAGGGCAGCGGTGTCAATCTCATTTGTTGTGAGGGCCAGATCTGATATAAATGAGGCCTTGTTGGGCCAGGCCGGGCCGGGTGTGTGTCATAAAATGTAATGCCAGGTAGCGGAGATATAAACTTTATAAAGGACACAAACGCACAGGGGTTTTTTTTTAACTTAAAATAAAATCATGCTTAAAATGTCAGGACTCTTGCAATATTTTGTTTATTTAACGGTGTCTGATAACTGACACCTCTTTGCTCTGAATTATTGCATCAAAACGTCTGTGCTGTTGCAATCTTGAGTATGCTGTTCAGGTGTGTATCTGAAAGCTGCAAACCTACGATGACGCAGAAGACATCATGGCACCCACGGTCACCGCATTCAGGACCACTGCTCTAGGGACTTCCCCGGGTCTCCATTGTCTTTACCATAAAGATTAGGGGAAATTCCTAGAACATCATCCAGAAGTGATGTCACATTGTCTCCAAACTCCACTCTCCTCAGGCACCATCCTCAAAATTTCCAGCAATTACCAAGGCAGTCCCGGTAACCCTACAGTTCCACCCTCCAAGTACTGAAGGGGAAATGTGAGAGACCTGCTTTCAAGGAAAACAGTTTTTGTTATAACTTGAGATCAGGCAGCTCTTTCCCCAAACAGTGATTTCAGTTTATTAGAACAGAACACAACAACACACACAAATACACGGAACAACCCCAACTTATATACAGTTTGGAACTGGCTAAACCACACACCTAGAACAGTACGGCCCAATCGTGAGTGAGTGCTTAAGACCAATAGGGTTTGTTCCCGCTGAAAGTCAGTCTTCCCTGATTGGTCCATTGCACAATGGCAGCCAATCAGGCTGTTGATTTCAGGATATTGAGAGTCTGTGGAGCTTGAGACTGAAGCTCAGGCTATCCACATACAAATACATAACACTTTTCCTTTCTCCTCCTTAGGGTCAGCCTCCTCTCCCCCCTTCTTCTTCTTCTTCTTCTTCTTCTTCTTCTTCTTCTTCTTCTTCTTCTTCTTCTTCTTCTTCTTCTTCTTCTTCTTCTTCTTCTTCTTCTTCTTCTTCTTCTTGCTGTTAGGTCACAGTTGACTTATGGCAGTGATGGCGAACCTTTTAGCGACCGAGTGCCCAAACTGCGACCCAAAACCCACTTATTTATCGTAAAGTGCCAACACGGCAATTTAACCTGAATACTGAGGTTTTACTTTAGAAAAAACAACTCATACATTAATTTAAGATGATCCAAACAAAGTAAGGAAAGCAATCCCAAATGCTTTCATTTACTTAAAATTATTTGGCAGAGAATTCGACACTTTAATGATGGTCTGGGCCTGGCTGGGGCGATGGCACGCGTGCCAACAGAGAGGGCTCTGAGTGCCACCTCTGGCACCTGTGCCATAGGTTCGCCACCACTGACTTATGGCAACCCTGTAGAGTTTTCAAGGCAAGAGACGGCTTCCCATTGCTGGTCTCTGCGTCACAACCCTGCTATCGCTTGCTGGTCTCCCTTCCCACCCTGCTTATCTTCTGAGATCACAGACTCCCTGAGCCATCCAGACTTCTTTACCAATGGACACTTCTGTCTGAATATTGTTAGGGCATATATAACAAAGCAGTTAAGCAGGGTTTAATATTACAGAACGAATCCATGAATAATAATAAGCCACAAAGCTTTTCCGTCGGTCTCTTTGCAGCCTCTGAATTCCTGCTGTGTGGATACCCAGCCGCACATCTCCGAATTAACTGCACATAACTCCCCCTCGCCCGCCTCCCCTTAGGGCTGTAAATACCTGATCCTCAATGAGGAACGACAGCCCTTTCAGTCTCTCGAAGGTCAGGGGATTGTTCTGTCTGCAGAAGGATTCGCCTTAAGACGTTTCTGACCTTTCACAGCGGCTGGTTGCTGAGCTTCATCCTGCGTTAAGTTCATAGCTGGGTGACTCAACAGTCGAAGAAGAAGCAGAAAATCCAGGCTAAAGGAAGGGATCAGGTTCGACGAGGGACCAGGCTGGCTGGCATAGTAAATGGCAAAGAGTTTGCATATTTCGTAATGTACGTTATTTATTCACAACATTGGCCGTGTCCTGGATGGCCCAGACTAACCCGATTTCATCAGATCTTGGAAGCTAAGCAGGGTCGGCCCCGGTTAGTATTTGGATGAGAGACCACCGGGAAACACGCAGGCAATGGCCAACCACGTGTGAACTTCTCTTGCCTTGGGAACCCAAGTCGGCTGCAGCCCGATGGCACTTTCTGCCTTTCTGCCCAGTCAGGGTCAGCAATTAAAACCAGCATAAAAATAATAATAATAAATATATCATAACAACACTTAAAAACCAGAGCTAAAAATACACGCATAAAACACAAGACAGCGAATGAAAATGCGGTGCAGGAGTGAGGGACAACTAGGCCAGGCAGAACAGAGAAATCTTCTTCACTGCTGGCGGAAGACAGAGTGGGACAGATGACGATCTCTGGGAAACGAGTTCCATCCTTTTAGAGCCACCACCAAGAAGGCCCCCCTCTCCCGCTGCCTGTGTCCTCCTCATCCCTTCCAACGTATTGTCTTTTTAAAAATCCGCAAAACTAATGCAATGAGAAAAATGAGAAATTCAACGAGAAATGTAATTATGACTCCGGTAATTTAACTTTGCAGAGATCGTTGATGAGTCTGCTCTAACAGACTTCGAATCTTCTGGCACCTTAAGCCGATGAGATTTGCAGGGTATAAACTCCCTTCATCGGAGCTCCGATTCTCAAGAACCTACACCCTGGGGATCTTGTGGATCTTTCAGGCGCCACTGGGCTCCAATCTTGCTCTTCTGTTGAGGACCGACACCGCTCCCCCCCCTGAAAAATACTTGGAATGTGCATCAAAATGTTTAGCCGCAAGGATCAGCCATACAATGTGACAGTTCACTGGAGGGGCAGCACATACATTTTTAAAATAGACATCCTGTATATTATTTTAATACAGACATCCTGTATTAATTATGCTGAACTTGGCCCCTGTACGGATTGATAAACCCAAACAAGGGGGCCGGGTTCAGAGATTATTCTTCAGTAGATCTGGGGATCCACCCCAGGTTTGCAGACAAATGGGACCCTCCTAAAAAAAAATATGAGAGGGGGGCAAATCCCCCCAAACAGAGACAAGTTGCCTGTGCTTGTGCAGACAATGTAAACCTATTATGAGTAGAAGGCGCAGGCTGAACGGAGCCATTGGAGAGGAGGAGGGAGGAGGGAGGAGGAGGAGGAGGAGGAGATTGGATTTATACCCCGCCTTTCACTCGGAGTCTCAGGGCGGCTTACAAACTCCTTTCCCTTCCCCTCCCCACAACAGACACCCTGTGAGGTGGGTGGGGCTGAGAGAGCTCTTTGAGGAAGAAGAAGAAGA